TTCCGGATTACCTCCGCGCGGTTACCGGATCACTCACGATGTTTCAACACTTTGATTCTCGTGAGAATTCCGACTCTCTTGGTGTCCTTGATTCCCTCGCGGGGTTTCTTTGGGCCTGGGGATAAGGTCTGGCTCTTCTCCGATTATTCACGGTGTCTGAACACTGTGACTCGCGGGAATTCCGATTCTCTTGGTGTCCTTGATTCCCTCGCAAGGTTTCTTTGGGCCCGGGTTCAGAGTCTGGCTTTTCTCCGATATTATTTACGATGTCTGAACACTGTCACTCGCGGGAGTTCCGACTCACTTGGTGTCTTTGATTCCCTCGCGGGATTTCTTTGGGCCCGAGTTCAGAGTCGAGCTCTCCGTAATACTTCCGTGCGGTTACCGAATCACTCACGATGTTTCAACACTGTGATTCTCGCGAGAATTCCGACTCTCTTGGTGTCTTTGATACCCTCGCGTTGTTTCTTTGGGTCCGACTTAAAATTAAAATATAGGTCATTTAATATATAGGCGACGTTTTTCTGTCGGCGGTACCTCCAGGTACGCTCCCGTTGTGGCACGCTCAGGTGGTTGGTCCTGGGGAACTCTTTCTCGTCAGGGGCCGTGACTGGCGGCAGGTCTTATTCTTGGAGCGCCCTGTTACGTCTCCGACTGCAGGGTCTCTCGCCCGATCTGGGGCTTAGAGTGGCCATCCCTTTTATCCACGCTGGCTCGCACCGGAATCTGGAAGGAAGCTCGGCGGCCTAATTGTTCTCAAATTAAGGAAAGGAACGCGGACTAAAGATACGACTTGTGTAAGCTGTTTCCTCGATGGTTTCTTTTCCGCTCTCGCGGTCCTCTTCTCGTGGTCGCTGCGGCGTCGGTGAGACGGGAAAAATCCTACAAGTTCTTCGGGAGCCGCTGATACGATATAATAAACAATCAAGATCGCTACGGAAATTAAGAATGATAATAAAGGGTATTCGGGCGGCGGGAGCCACGCAAATGTGGCTCCGCGGCCCGCGGCCAGCGCCACGCGTCCGCCTCCGAAAATTGGAAGGACGTAGGACACAAAACTACCGCCCGCGGTCGGGTCCGTAGATCCCTTGTGACGGACGGTCCAAAAAGGGACGTCACGTCACAGTATTAATCATCGTCTGAAATACAATTATTGCTAATGTCTCTTCCGAATTACCGCATTTCTCGTA